TATATGGCTACTACCATTCCCCTTCTCTGGCTTTTCCTCTAAGAGGTCATAGTCCTGGGGAAAGGTGAAGTTACGACCTTAATGATAAAGTTACAATGTGAAAAATGCTTTTTTATTACTTTATCCTCAAGAATATGTAGCTATCATACATCCTCTTCTGGCAGCCATGCTAAGTGATTTAGCATTTTGTTCATTTTTTTAGATGAGGTATGAATATTTTTGAATTTGTCTCAATTTTTATATTCATCAAGCATTTGTATATTCTCACCCCCACCACCCTGTGCAGGTACTCTCACTACCTCTCACCTAGACTGCTCCAAGAATCTTCTAGTAGAACTCCCCCATCCTCTCTCTGTACTCTACCTGTTCTGTACAGCACTGCCTGATAAATCTTAATATTTTTCTTCTCTTCTCAAATATATCTAATGGTTCTCTATGTATAACTTTAAAGAGCCCTACACTACTCACTTTCTATTAAGTCTAACGACAAATGAGCCCATTTCACATTCTCATTTATGACTAACGAGAGGCACAAAAGGAGTTATTACTTGTAAAAGCCTTCAGAAGCAAATTTGAAATCACAGCCTCTTCCAACTAAATTTCAAGTACTAATGCAGGACTCACCATTCTTGTAAGTGCAATGGTTTGAACTTGACATCTTCTACTGAAAAAAATGTTCAATATTCAGATGGCCTGGGCAACAGTGGAATAAACTAGATGCAGTGGAAGATGTACAAACAAGTAAGAACGATGTGTACCCTGAGACCTCGAGTCTGGAGCACCTGTCTGAAAACTCACACCCCCAGTATTCAGCAAGAGGTTTAAAAGCCCTATATCAATACAAATTTTGTAAAAAGACTCACAGACCCTAAGTGTTTCTCTCTACCTTCTGTGACTCTTAAAAGTGCAGTCGGAGACTTATTTAATTCCTCATATAGGCAGCCTAGTGTCAACTGCACATCCTTCATGCCAATATCCAATGTGATTTATTATACTTATAAACCCTAAATATTGCCTAGGCAGGAGAATTCCTGGTCAAAAACCAAACAAGATAAATTAGAAAGTACTTACAATTATCTCTGGAAAGAGTAACAAATAATTATTTAGAAATGGATAGACTTGTGTGAGGGAGGGGAAGAGCCTGAGAGAGGTGATGAGACAAAAATGACTACCACAGACCAAGTCAAGTAAGACAAGGAAAGATAGATAAAGTGGGACCGGGTAATACAGAGTAAAAAATAAGCAAACAAGGCTGAGATTACACTTGATAGGACAGGAAAATAAGGCAGAACATTGGCATGGTGAAAGTCATGTAAAAAGAGGGATTCAAGGAGACTTGACCATGTTCCGGGCTTGTAGTGATAGCCTGCAGGAACCGAATCTGGAACTGGAATGGGAAAAATTAACGGTGCAAAGTACTGCCCCGAAAGATATTTAGAAGATAGATATTATCTTGGGAGAGATAGGACAATGGCATCACCCCTTACTTTGAATTACAAATACTAAAAAAGGCTCTAACACTGCATTCAGCATGACATATTTGCCCTTCATCCTCTAATATGCATGCCGCTATTTCTGCACCAGATAGGAAACGAGGCCAAGTATGACTTTGGCCTTGTTGTTGGCTGGTAAGGTGATTGATGGTACTCAGGAAGAGTTTAAAAACCCTCTAAAGTTTGCACATGGTCTCTGATATATTATGTTGGATTTCAGAATGTCTTTTAAGCATGATGCACTCTTGATTTGTCTCCAGGAAAGTGGGAGTGGTAATGAGCATGAGGTTTACCTAGAACCCCCAGCTTGGCTAAAATCTACTTAGTACAAGGCCTCAGGCAAGACGGCTTAGACTGGCCCTTATCTAAACCTCTAGCAAGCACACCTTTGTCTTCAGAACTGTTTACCTCAGAGTGCAAGATTGAGTGCAGTATTAAGCAAAGTGTGTCCACTTGAAGGTCAGCAAGCTGCCTGTTACTGGTCTGTGAAGAGGTTCATACAGAAATCAAAATTTGTATAGCAGTAAATTTAGCTCTGTTGAACCTAAATAATGGAAAATAGAAAAAATGGAACAGTAATTTGTAAGTATTTTAAAATTTGTTTTTCTAAGTAGCTTATAATTCATTTTCATTGTACTTTAGAAAAGTGTCAGTGTACAACTTATTGTGGGGGAGCTTATCTTACAACTGAGATACCTTGAGAAGTACTGATTTGGAGGTCAACAAGCATGGGGCTCACAGAAAGGGAGGCAGAAACGCCTGGATTTATTCTAGGTCTTATGGCACAGGAACAGAAGCAGCCCCTGTGAGTCATCCATGATGGATCTCAGTGCACAGGAGACTCAGCTGGAGTCAATACCACATTAACAAAATGGATGTGCATTTTATCCAAGTGAATATTTGCTCCCTTGAGAACCAGTGTCAGGGGTTGCCTGATGGTTAAGGATTCAGAACTTTGGAATTTGGGCCATGATTTTTTTCATCATATTGGCATGAACAGTGACCTAGTGAAAATTACCAAACCCCTCAGAGCCTCAGATTTCTCACCTAAAATATAGATAATGTTACATTCTTTATAGGAATGCTGTGATGATTAAAGATAGGTGAAAGTAAACATGCCAGTTTTTATAAAAAGCTCAATAAATATTAGTCTTTCTATTCGAGTCAATAAGTTAACTGATTCATGTTGACTGTCATTGTACACTTGTTTCTTTGAGGGGTTCCATTTTTATTACTATTTTTGTTTTGGTTGTATTTTTGTTTTCTTTTTCTTTGCTTCATAAATCAAAAATTGGAAACCATATAATTCACAACCCATTCCAATCTGGCTTCCATCTCTACTTCCACATTAAATATTTCTAAACTACAGTTATTAAGGTCAATACATATGATTGCTATATTTCAGTTCTTATCCTATTTAACCTCTAATGGCATCCCAAACAGTCAACCTTACTTCCTCTTTCTACAAACTTGGCTTCAATGACACTGCTTTACTGCTAATTCTGAGTCTCCTGGGGAGAGCCTCCCTTACCTAAGCATTAAATGTCTCAAAGCTTAGTCCTACTCTGGTAGATTAGATTGTTTTATTATTATTCAATTTGTCATGCCCCACCCAAGCCACAGTTTCTCCTTGGCTTTGAGCTTGACTATGACTCTTGATTTGGTAAACAGAATGTTAGAGGACATGACACAGAAGCTTTAAGAGGTTGCTCCCTCACACTCAATGCGTGAAAGAGTATGCCCTGGGTAGCTGCTGGTCCAAGAAGAATGAAGACACATAGAGCAGGCCTAAACTCGAGAGATAGCTTGAAGCCAAACCCACCCAATCCAGCAGAGACCAACACAGCTACAGCCCACTTGTAGACCCAGGAATAAAATATAAATAAATGCCTTTAATTCTAAGTCACTGTGATTTTGAGATTGTCTGTTTCACAATAAAAACTAACTGATGTTCTTCTCACTCTGTACTCTCCCCGCGACCTCTTATCTGAGCCCCAAATGTATATCCTATTGACTATTCTTTGATATCACCATTTGAATGTATCCAAAGTCTTAAACTCAGCATGTCCAAATTGGAACTTGATCTTCTGTCCTCCTTTATTAAAAAACTTTTATTTTATTAAAAAACAGAATACATTATACATCTAAATGTACACTATACATCTAAATGTACATCCAGAATCTTGTGAAGACTCTCTTGGTTCCCTCTCATACCCAATTCATCAACACAAAACTTTCCTTCTAAGTATTTATTTCTCTAATTTCTCTAATGCAATCCAATTCTCTTCTGCACTAGCACTGCCCTAGTCCAAAATCATTTTCTCTTATATGAATTGACTTTTCAATTTCTCTTTCCTAGCTGTCTCTAATATATTCAATATTTTGCAACAAAGAAAATTTTTCAATAAAGTGTTCTAATTTGATCACATTAATCTCTACTGCTATTCCTGCTTAAACACCCCCTTTGATGGCTTCCCAGTGCTCCTAGAAATAAGACCAACATTCGTAATATAGGCCATAAGTAATCTTTCCTTGATCTCTAGGCTTAACTCTTTCCACAGCTCCTCCTATACCCTGTACCCTAGGAAAACCAGTCTTCTTTGAACTCGCCAAGCTTTTCCTTCCCACTACAGAGAATTTACATTACAGTTAACCCTGACAAAACACTTTCTTCCAAATCAGCTTAGGATACTTCAATGGCCTGTAAGGAAAATAGGACAAAATATTTGAAACTGGATAATTCTGGAAAGCCTGAACACATGATCACCAGAACTGTGGCTCAAATGACACACAGAGATTTATTCTTAATTACTGCAGACTCAGACAAAATAGTAAACTACCCCTCTAATACGCTTCCTCCTGCTAACTTTCTTCAGGAAACTTTGTAAAATTCCTGATACTTTCTCTATTTACTACAAAATGTTTCCCAGAAAATACTGTCCGATCTTTAGAATCATTTTACCTTCAGGACTCAGTGACTCCAACCTCGTTCTATCATATAAGAGCCAAGTTCTGAGACCTTTCTGGGTCCTGAATCCCTTATGTCTAAAGGTAAGAAATAAGCATTTCCTACAATGCTGAGCTGTTTTACTGATTAAATGAGATCTAAATTTATTAATACACCTAACTTTCCTGTGTCATTCCGTTAGTATATATTTCTTAGGCTATATATTTCATGATAGACTGGTAAACTCAGATTGTACTTCAAAGGAAGCTTTGAACAAAAAAACAAAACAAAAAAGTTTTTAGAAAGAAAAAAAAAAGCATTCAACTCATCTTCATGCTCCTTCCTGGATAATGAGGCCCCAAATGGCTACCCAGATACTCTGCCTGGACTTCAAACCTGGCAGCCCATCTCCCTGTTTGGGTCCATTACCCTTCTTGAAGCTGATTCTGCTTCTCTAATATTTTAACTTCTGACACATGCACTTGTTTGGTCAAATCAGCCACTTCTCCCTGGGCACGCCCTGGCCTCATTAGTCTATGTCTCTGTTGTCCTTGTCCTGAGGAGTAAAAGTCAATAATAGTGACCAGCAAAATGGATGTTGCTACATGAAGATGCATAAAGAAGAAAGAGGCAAATAGTCCAGTTTCAAATATTAGACAGTATCTATACAACATGATAATCTACTAAGGAGCTTATTCTTTAGGACTTTGACAATGTCTTTCCCATCGTCTGGACTCACATAAGCTCTCTTACCACACTGCTTCCCAGAGTCAGTTTATAAATATTCCTAGCATCTTAGGTGTCCTTTCCAAAATACGAATAGCATCAGTATGATAAATGGTTTGAAAAAAAACCCTGATACTCTCTGCTGCTGAATTTATTTTGGAGACAAGGTCTTTTGAAAGAAAATAACTGGTTTTTGCTCCAGGACATGGGATCAGTACTCTATGTTAGTGAATGTGTGGTGTTTGTAAGGAGGAAGAAGAATCTCAGAGAACCATTCAGGGCAAAATGCAACACAATACAGGCACAGCTCTGAGAGGGAGTGGGGTTAGGCACTGTTCCCCAAAATGTGCTCTTGGAAGCAATAGCCTGCAATGCTTTAGTCCAAAAAGTATGACTTCCTGTTAAAACTAGGTTTAAATAATTATATGACCAACCTGCAAATATTGTTGACCGAATCTTCTGGACAATGATGGTGGCATTTACAACGCAAGATCTTTGGGCGAGGTGTGGGGGCTGTACTCTCACCATCCTCTTTCTTGGTGCCCACATTTAATTTTCCTGAACTTCGCAAAAGCATGTTATCAAGGAATTTTGCTGAAAAGAAGAAAGAGTAAGAGTGTAAGTATATGTGGGAGAGCCCAGCCAAAGTCTTTTGTCCAAAGAATAATGTGACATCAAATAAAATATTAAGTATTCATGATAATTAAAGATTTAAACATAAAACAGATATTCTGTTTGTTTCTGAAACTAAAAATTATGCTTTCTATAACAAGTAGATTACATAATTATAGATAACAAATATAACTATATGTCTCACATAGAATACAGAAGTTCTCATAATCCTTTCAGGATAGTATTTATACATTATAATACTTGTATTTGATTGAGTGCATGGAGGTCAATAAGACATTATTATATAGATTATCTCTACACCGTATGGGAATATGTGGGTAAATATTATTCTCATTTTCAGATGAGAAAATTAAGACTCGAAGTTTAAGTGATTTTACACAGCTAATAAATCATGAAGCCAGCATTTAAACCCAGATTGTTTGTGTCCTAAAACTCTCTTCACAGCAGTCTCTTTACTTTAGGAGTCTCTTTACTTGAGATGTATATATTTTTAAAGAAATTATGAGAAATCTTTAATCTGAAAAATTACATAGGAAGATGAAAACTTAGTTATAACTAAGACGTATTTCAAAAGATACATCTTCCCCATCAGCTTTTGCATGTGAAAGTGCCTACCTATATTAGTGACAGTTCTGCATCTTTGATGAAACACACTATAGAATATGATCTCTATAGCTTCATTATTTACCAGTTGGTCGGCCTCAGATAACTTTAGAAATAATCTCATTAGGTCTCATTTCCTTACTCTTAAAATGGAGATAATAAAAGCACCTACCTCATGTCAAAACCTTAGAATGTATATGTTACATAGTAATATTTGATAAATACTAGCTAATATTATTACAAGAATATTTTTTTTTACATTTTAAATAATAAGACAATGTTTCATTAAAATAGGTTGATATATCACTGAGTTTTCATATTTTCCTTCTTTACCACTACTTTTGGATAGTACCTATACTCGAGAAGGGGGCATGCATGAATTGATACCTATTATGTTTCCAGGCATTGGAATAAAATCTCTCACACAGGCTATGTCACTGCACAAATTGTCACCCAGAGCACTGTTTGATTTAAAATCTCTCAAAACACATCCAGCTTGCCTATAATTAGATCAAAATTTCAACAAAAATATTATTTAAAAGATTGTTAGGCTAAAAAATGAAATTCTAAGTCAAAGTGCAATGTACAGTATAGATGTGTACAATGTGCATGTGTTACTTTTTAAAACAGCAAATAGATGCCTCTAGCCATTGGTTACATCTGACAATGAGAAATTTAGAAAAAGATCTGTGATTTTTTTCCTGATTTTCTGTATGGTAAGCTAATTAGATGAATTCTCATTCTCAATATTACTAACTTTATAACCTGAATTACCGAAAAGTAACACAAAGTGGTGAAAATAAGATATTTAAAACTTATTATATCCTGCTTCCCTCCATACCAGACCCCATCTCTTTGAAGTTTTAAATAAAATAATAAAACTCATTTATTATGCATATGTTTACTTAGCAAATACGTATTAGCTGTCTACCCTGTTCCAGACACAGCCTGTACGTAGGATGAACTAAAAGTACACAGAATTTATCACTTGGTAGGAAAAGTTATTAAATAAAATATTTATACAGAATGGTCTACATTATAAAGCAAATATCTCATACTGTTGGAAATAAGGTGTCACTTTGTAAGAAACATTTTAAAAGAGTCATGATTTTCTCACATTTCAAATTTATATAAATTACAGAATTACATAAAATTCAGCTATAAGAAGGTTCTTTGCAATATTGCTTATAACAATCCACATTTAAAACAATAGGAGATAAATTAGATCTCTAAACTGAGATTCCTATGTGGCCATTAAAATGTTGAGGTGGAAATACATTTATTTATAAGAAAGAACATTAAAATATAATTTTTGTTGAACAGAGTAGATTTCCAAGGTATTTTTATTGTAAAATATCATACAATAATAGGAAAAGAGGCTAAAAGATGAACCTATAATATAAAATAGATTGAGAAAAGACACTAGCAGTAAAAACCTAGAAAGCAGAAGGACGTTCAGAAACTGACTTAACAAAACCAAGAATGCTGATCCTAAGCCAAAGGTGGGGAGAAGCCAAAAAGCAAAATAATTTTACCACTCAACCCCCAAAAGGCCCCAGAGTAGTACCACAAGTTACTTTTAGAAGTGAGAGTGAAGGGAGTATTGAAAACAGGAGGCTTAAATCTATCTTAGAAGTCACAAGAGCTTCAGCTAAACTTTCTCAGTCCCTATGGGTGAGTAAACCTTCATTCTCCACCTCTGCAGAAGACTAGAAGGGTAAATCTGATATACACAGCATTGAGATGCCATCCCTACTTTCTCGTTTTACCATCAAGGTGAGGGACTACGGGAAACCAAGCATAGAGGCAGGCAAGAGTACCACAAACACTCAGTGAACATTTACTGCAAACACACAGTGAACATTTACACTGGGTGTTGACTCCTTCCATCCTCCCCACCTACATGGTTTCCAGAACTCAATATAGTCTGGCTTATGCTTTCCTTATTCAGGTATCTGACCAGGTCATGAACAAGCAGAATATCTAAAGGCAGGGAAACTGGGAATTTCTCAGTGAAACAGTCCTGTGACATTATCCTACAGTGAGGCCCACTGGTGAGAAGATCTACCCAGAATTCTCAATCAGCTTTCATAGTGCTTCTTTCTCTTACACATAAGCGACTAATTCAGGGTCATTAGATAAATGAAGAAAGCCTTAAACATCAAAAGCTGAGAACAAAACAAATACACAGACAAAAGCCCCTTGAAAGCAAATAAAAACTTACAAACTATTACTAATACTCTCAGCTTTGTAAAAAATATATTACATCAATGAAATAGGAACATGTTGCTATAAGAAGGGAATAACAAGAAAATCTAAATATATGATTGCATAAGTGACAATCTCAGTAGGTGAGGTGAAAGATAAAGATTAGGAAATCTCCCAAAATGTAGAAACAGAGATGAAAAACTTACGTAAATTAAAACATCAATCCAGAAAATTTAACAACTGAATAATAATAGTTCTAGAAAGAGAGACTTGAGAAAATAGAGGGGATGAAATCATCAAATAAATAAATCATGCAAGATTCCCATAACTGAAAATCCTGATCTTCTTAGTTTGAAAGGACCTATAGAGGATATGAATACACTCACACCAAGGTATGCTATGTAAAATTTTATAAGACAGCAAAGGAGAGTTTAAGTTTAGAGCAAGAGTGAGAGAGAAATTAATACCTGGGAAAATTATAAATCGAACATGAGGGCAGGAAAAAAGCATTTTAGGTTTTTTAAGGTCTCAAAAGTTTACCTCCATGTACATTTCTCAGAAAGTTATTCAAAGAGATGCTCCGCTCAAATGAAGGTATAAATAAGAGAACAGAATATATTCCTGCTACTAGGAGACCCAACCCAAGAGAAAAGTGAACATACTCTCAAGATAATGGTAAAAGGGCATCAATAAGATGAGAACTATGCACTGGACCTAAGGGATAACCAGACCTAACTGAAAGATTCCAGAAGCGATATCTCCAAAAAGTGGAAATTATGAGAATAACTCATATATTTTCAATTTAAACTGAGAATTCAGAAACGAATTTGTGGTGGGAACATAGGAAACCAAGAAAACAAATAACATTTTAACTGCTAATATATATATATAAGATGGAGGACAGAAATATGTGTGTATACAGTGAGGGTGAAGGTCATAAAAGAAAGCTAAATCCTTACCTTCAACAGTGGGAAGTCAAAAGTGATGGCTAACATTGAATAATCAAGAGGTAGCAGTACAATTATTTCTTTAGAAATATGAAAGAAAACTCAAAAAGAAAGAACGTAAAGTGGTGTAGATGTAGTTGCAACTGGAGAGATGAGTTGGGAGAATGCTTTTTTTAAAAGCCTCTTTAAACTATGTTAAAACAAAAAATAGCAAGATTTAAAATAATATATTTCATATGATGATCCCACTGTAGCTTGTGTGTGCATGTGTGTGTGTAAGAGATAAATGTGTAGAAGGAGTCACACCTATATGGATATTGATAAAATATATAAAGATTCTACTTCCAGTAGGAAAATATAATTATCTCTCAGGGATTATGAGTTTTGAATTTTGAATCGCGAAATGTTCAGTTTACATTCACAAGGGCCATAATTCCTGTTTCTACGTCAGCATGGACCTACAGAGTAGTAACATAATAGTTGGAGCTATTTAAAAACATTTGCAAATTCCTTCTTAGTTTAAACAGAGAAGTAATTAGTCTCATATTCTGGTGTGGAATAAAGAATATCAGTGAACAAAGAACTAGGAAATAAAAAATATATATAGCCAAGAAAAAGGAACTTCCCTAGCCAGTCTTCATTATGGGATTCACCACTAGACCAATAAACAGGGTGTGGTATTAACACCAAATCCACTTTTGGTTACAACAGTTTGTGTGGTATGTACATGTGCTTAAAAGTGTGGTAAATCTACACACCTCGTTCTATATTGCAAGTTATCAACAATCTATTTCCTGGTATTTTGTAGGACATTCTAAGTTCACTACTTCAGTTATTATTAAGAAAAGATACCTGAATCTGGTAGCTCCAAGCAATCTACATAGTCAAATCCTGGCTCTCAAACACTGGAGAAATCAAGAGCAAGCCATTCTTTCTATAAAGATTGTGCACATGAAATATTGTTGCATAATCTTTTAAAAATTACTTAATACTTTAATATGTAGTTGAAATATATATTATTTTACCAGAAACATATTCACAAAAACAAAAAGCTAAGAAAAGCATGGCTAGCTCACAACTGAGACACGATTTCTATAAACTGAGTTAGATGACATCCTGAATAAGCACGTAAGGTTGCCTTAAGACAATGTGGCCTAAAAAAGTAAAAGTAGTGAGATTAAAAAAAAAAATGATTGCTTTTAA